ATAATGCAATCTCTATGCTTAATTTAATTGGTAACAAATGATTAATATTGTAACCATCATTTATTAGTGAAGAATGCAATCTAATCTCGCACAGGATGGTACATACCGAAGTGAAATCTCACAAATGCGGAGTGTGTGGTAAAACATTTAAGAGAAAAGATAATTTGCATCAGCATGAAATAATTCATACCGGTGAAAAACCATATCAATGCGAATTTTGTGGCAAATCATTTAAGTGAGTAACAAAAATCAGAAGAATTAATTAATAATGCAATCTCTGTGTTTAATTTAATTGGTAACAAACGATTAATATTGCAACGATCATTTTTTAGTCAAAAATCGAATCTAAACGAGCACAAGAAGGTACATATCGAAGTGAAATCTCACATATGCGGAGTGTGTGATAAAGCATTTAAGAGAAAAAAAAATTTGCATCAGCATGAAATAATTCATACCGGTGAAAAACCATATCAATGCGAATTTTGTGGTAAATTATTTAAGTGAGTAACAAAAATCAGAAGAATTATTTAATAATGCAATCTCTATGCTTAATTTAATTGGTAACAAATGATTAATATTGTAACCATCATTTATTAGTGAAGAATGCAATCTAATCTCGCACAGGATGGTACATATCGAAGTGAAATCTCACATATGCGGAGTGTGTGGTAAAGCATTTAATACAAAAGGTAATTTGCAACGGCATGAAATAATTCATACAAGTGAAAAACCATATCAATGCGAATTTTGTGGTAAATTATTTAAGTGAGTAACAAAAATCAGAAGAATTATTTAATAATGCAATCTCTGTGTTTAATTTAATTGGTAACAAACGATTAATTTTGCAACGATCATTTTTTAGTCAAAAATCGAATCTAAACGAGCACAGGGTAGTACATATCGAAGTGAAATCTAACATATGCGGAGTGTGTGGTAAAGCATTTAAGAGAAAAAAAAATTTGCATGAGCATGAAAAAATTCATACAGGTGAAAAACCATATCAATGCAAATTTTGTGATAAATCATTTAAGTGAGTAACAAAAATCAGAAGAATTATTTCATAATGCAATCTCTATGCTTAATTAAATTGGTAACAAATGTTTAATATTGTTACGTTTATTTTTTAGTCATCAATCGAATCTAGCCAGGCACAAGAGAGAGATACATAACAATGAAAAACTTTACAAGTGTGCCCAATGTGAGAACTGTTATGCAACAAAACAAAGTTTGCGTCATCATATAAACGTGAAGCACAACGGTGAAAGAACCGTATAAATGTAACGAATACCCAACTACATTTATCTATTTTCCATTCCATATTACTCATACAAAAATATATAGAGATGGGAAACTACATCTTTGCGAGGAATGTATGTACCTTCAAATTATCGTTAGTGTTCTATTCAATTATTTCTCATTTGGTTGTTCTTTTATTTTTACTTTTCTGTACATATAAATATGCTGGATTTTGTTTGCGGCATAACTTTTACTTCCAATGATAACTTAAACGTTCATAAATTTGTCCATGGCGATTAAAAGTAGTATGAATGTTTGGTGTGTGACAAGAGCTTCCCGCGAAAAGATGATGTTATTACACATATGTTAAATCAGGTCATTCATGAGAAAACGTTTAAATCCATTAATAAATTCTCATTTGTCTTCTTATTTGTGATATATATTGGATTGAAAGAAAAATTCTGCGGTACTTTATTAGCACAAATTGGAAATACAATAGTTTCGTTAAAAATGATGAAAGTTAAAATTTAAAAACGGTTTCAAAGTTTGAAATCTCTACTTTCGAACGATTACTGTATGTTTTAAATTTATGTGGGTTTGTCATTTTTATATATAGAAAGCTATGAGATGAAAGAAAGGGAAATTTATTTCCTCACTTCAAGGGAATGTCACGTGCCAAAAAAATTTGCAAAAATTATCGGTTATCTATATGATGAAAATTTGGAATTTTTTCAAAATAGTAAAAAAAAATATTTCTACGATTTTTTGTTCTTGAGTTATTCGCGAATTTAGTAAAAAGGAGCATTCTGAATTTGATTGCTCATAACTACAATAAAAATCATCATAACGCAATTAATACAACAGATTCGTAAAGCTGCAATGTTGCTCCATCAAGTGGTATAATTATCAATTTAAAAAATAGAATTCAGGTACATTTGAGTTAAAAATGTGATACTATTATCCCCCCC